CTCAAGTAAAATTAGCTTTCTATGCAGCCTTAATGAAGTTTCTCATGACAACATTTTTTGCAAAATGTTTTACAAATTATCTGTTGACCTCAGAGCTGCTCAACGGTGTCTGGGTATCTGTGGTCCATGTCTTAGCAGAAGAGTATGTGTCTTTTATACTAGAAAAATAAGGATCTTTAAAAGTACCTAGAACTATGATGAAAGTGAAGCAATGCTGTTTTGGAATGGTGGCATCTTGAGATAGCCTACATCTAGCACTCTGTGCATAAGGCACATCTCCCTGTCACATTTGGGGAAAGGCAGCTCACATGCTGCAAGATAACCTATTAATTTTTTTATTGTTATGCCAATAATTGCATTCACACATTAACTTTTTAACCAAGTTTAACTATAGAGTTACTTTGCTGGTCTAAGAACATTTCCTTTATTTTATTTTTCCTTCCTTACATGCCTTCCATCTTTTACACCTGACATTTTAAGAATGTTGTAAGACATAGAGTCTTTAGGTCTTCTAGTGTTGAGTTTTTCTCCAGTGAGAGAAGATGCTTTGCGTTAGAGTTTTGATGTTTCTTGGTTGGTTGTTGGATAGATGAATGATTGGTTGGTGGTGTTGGATGGGTGATTGCATAGTTAGGTGTAAGGGGTGCTGTTTTATTGGTGGTAATTTTTGTTTGTTGTTTGTTTGTTTTGAGACCGAGTCTCACTGCATGGTTCACATTTGGCCTCACAGTCACTATGTAGCCCAAGCTGGCCTTGAACTCATGATCCTCCTACCTCAATGTCCTAAATTCTGGGATTACCGACATATGGCACCATGCCCAGCTTAAACTTCACTTTTAAAACATCCCATTCTTATAAAGTTGCATTCTCAAATGAGATCTGGTCATTGACAACACCTAAGTCTTCTTTGGCCGTTTTTGAAACTTTCCTGAAGTCTCAGGTGTGTCTTATAGGTAGGATGTTCCTTCATTTGCATGGATAAAATAGAACCATCTCATCTCCTGGTAGTTCTCATGATTCATATAGAAAGCCATTCCAGAACTATAGGTTTGCAGAGTATATTAAATCAATCTAAAACATATAGAAGGAAGCAAAGGAAAATAAATAGGACAGACTAAGACATTCAGGATAATGGGCTTGCAATATGTAAGAACTACAGCATCTATATCCAAACTCTACAATGTAGAGATCTCCCCTCAATAGCTAGATGACAGATACATAGATACATATATAGATAGTAGATATATCTCTCTATCTCCTCACTTTCTACTGTTCCTTTTTTCTCTTCCCACTGCCTTCTGTACCATTCCTGTCTTCTTTTGTCTGTCCTTTTCTTCTCCCTTCCTCTTTTCCTTCCCTTATAAGGGCTTTTGCATTCATAGTGGTTCAAACTACTAAGGTTCACTAAAGAAATGATGGGAGATAAAAGAGTGAATGTAGATGAGAACAAAAAAGTCTTAAAAGTCTAGCCAAGGAATATGAACTTCTGTCCTGCAACTATCTGCCTTTAATCACTTGGCATAGTTTATTAATACTTAGGTGAGTCTTTTGTGGTCATAGAAAATCTACCTAGAAAAGGTATCTAAGAACATAGTTAGGTTCTGGGGAGATGGTTCAGCAGTTAAGAGTGGCTGTTGTACTTGCTGATCTTTCAAAGGACCAGAGTTCATTTCTTAGTATCCTCATCTAGAAGCTCACAGCACCCTGCAACTCCAGCTCCAGGACACTGAGCACCCACCCTTGACCTCCATAGGTACCACACACATGTGTTCATACATACATGCAGACAGACACATGAACACAAATTTTAAATGTACAGAATAGATAATAGATTGAATTTTGCAATATATAGAAGTATAATGATTGCTGGGCAGTGGTGACACACCTTTAATCCCAGCACTCCAGATGTAGAGGTAAGTGGATCTCTGAGTTCAAGGTCAACCTGGTCTACAGTGGCAAGCCCATTCTAGAGGAGAACTTAGCAGATTTATTAAGACTGAGTAGAAAAGGAGGGAAATTTAGAGTTTTGTAGAGGAATTTGTATGACAAAATAAAAGAAATGATATGCATTCACAATTTTAACATGCAATAATTGACTACAATTTTTTGTAATAAGTTCCACTAGTAAGAAAGATGGAGAAAGCAAAGTACTCTCTTTGGAGAGACAACCTTTAACTCACTGCAGTTAGTTCCCTATTGGCAGCTTTTTGCTTGTCTGTTAAACCCCCTGTTAGGATTCTGCATATTTTTCATACTCCATGTTTGAAAGTTCTTCTCACAGTGATAGGAACTTCTCAGCACATCAGTTTATGAGCATATGATCTTAATTGAACATATTCAGCGCATGGAAGGAATTTGTAGAATTCTATTAGATTTTTCCCTTGAGAGCTGTCTTTTAACATGCCATTATATTATAGCCTAGTCATTTCCAATTGAAGCTTATGTAGAAATTCCTCAACTATACAGTCAAGTGGATTGGGAAACACAAAATCTTCTTCCATCTACGTCTAAAATACGCACCTGAAACCCAACTCAGAAAAATCTAGCAGTTGCCTCACTATTGTCTTCATTTTGACAGTACAGGCAATGTATAATGCTTCTAGTGTTACCTGTGATTAGCTGTCAAAATTACATGTATTTTCATGTACAATCACTGTTTTCCTAAGTTATTTTGAGTTTTATTAATGAATAAGCATTGTAAAGTCTATTGCAAAGCCTAATTGTTTTTGCTTGCTTGCTTGCTTGCTTGCTTGCTTGGTTTTGGTTTTTTATTGTGTTTTGTTTGTTTTTTGAGATGGGGTCTTAAGTATTCCAGACTAGCCTCAGACTCACTTTGTCATCAAGGATGACCTTAAACTCCCAGTCTTTCTCAACCTTGTTAGTATCATTAGGGTCATAAGTGCAGACCACAACACCTGGTTTATGTAGTGCTGGGCATTGGTCATAAGGTTACAACCATTCTACCCACTGAGATAAATCCCATGTCATTTCTTTCTTTATATGACTTACTTTATTTTGGACAGATTTCAGATATATTTACTATGCTCTTATATACAGGGATTTTCTCTCATTTAGGAAAGTTTCCATCTCTGCTTCAAAATACATTAACAAAGCTATACTTATCCTAAGCCATCAAACATTGTGTAATTGAATGTCAATGTTTTGATTAAAAATTTTACACAACCAAAGAAGATTAAATCCACAAAATCCAATGGAATCCACTGTTGCCACACAGGTTGGATAATCTATATATAAAATTCAAATATGTTCCTCAGATCCCCTGCTGGCAATGACTACAATGAATATTTATAGCTTTAAACATCAGACTTTTCTCAAGCTTTGAAGTTTGTGCAGTAGATCTTTTCTTGGTCACATCCATCAGTTTTATGGCCTCTTAGAAGATTCTACTTCAGGTCATGCTAATCTGTTTGTCATTAACTTCCTTGACAATAATCTTTCTTGCAGTCACCCACAGCTTTTCCATGCAGGTTAACTTTTCCATCATTTCAAGCTCATCTCTGAGTCCTCAAATGAACAACCTCGAAATATTACAATATTCCATTGACCTACCAAGAGCAAGGAAACTAGTTTAAAGTCATTTCCTATAGTCTCAAACAGTTGATTCTCTTACAGTGTCAACATTTCAAACAATATCCTCACTAAAAAGATAACCAATATTGAACAAGAGTTTTTTGACATATGATGTAGTCAGTCACCACAAACAAGGTTAATTCTTTGCTGAGCTGACAACTGAAAACTTAATTTTAGTTCAGCATTCTTAAAAAAGAGTGTGTGTGTGTGTGTGTGTGTGTGTGTGTGTGTTATGATGTAGTCAGTCACCACAAACAAGGTTAAATCTTTGCTGAGCTGACAACTGAAAACTTAATTTTAGTTCAGCATTCTTTAAAAAGAGTGTGTGTGTGTGTGTGTGTGTGTGTGTGTGTGTGTGT